ATTGGTCGTTGCTCTACGAATTTAATTTGTCGTTCTTGTGGTGTTGTTAAAACTGTCAGCAGTTCTATATGACGACACCCCGTTTAAACAGGCCACAAAGCTAACATTGAATAATCCTTCTCTCTATCAATAATTGGATAGCAGATAAATTATCAAAGGCCTTTGGATACCGAATATTCCAATTAGAAGAGGCACAGCGGTGAAGACGCTCGCCGACCATGCACATGGTCCGGGGTTCGATCCCAGGCCACAGAAGCACTCCTTTACCTCGCTAAGCCAGAAATAAAGAGGAAAGGTTGAACATGGGGTTAGCAAACCCATCCTGTAAGAATAAACACTGCTACAGAAACTTCAAGCTTCTCGCTTGAAGCCCTATGTTCCACTGAGAACGTGAAGGAATGAAAAAAGAGGCCATAGTAATTCGCTTAAATTAATTGGAGCTCTGTGTGAAGAAGAAACTGGTTCAGCTAGCGACTACTACTGATCTAGTCTTCATTGGAGACTATAAATTCATGAATCCTGTTTAATTCTTATTTTTCCGAATTTTTCTGATATTCAGCGTATATTCAGGCATATTATCACACTTACTGATACTATTGAACTGTAACCCATTGATATTATTGACTGATTCGATATTATTTAGACGGCATTAATGCTGTTATTAACCCTAATTCTTTCGTTATTATGGATGCACATAACTGTAGAATCTGATGAAGAGTAGGTCATTGCAAAGAATATTCTCTGTTCATTAAAAAATATTTTGAAACACCTGATAGGCAATTTTAATCAATCTTCAATTAATTAAAATCCTGCTTGATTAACAATTGCAAAAATGTTCATTCAGACATCTATAAAACACAAAATAATCGAGCAAAGAATATTCTTTTCGATAAATTCCTCTTCCAGGCTCTACAATTATATATTTGTATGTTTATATACACAGAATATCTTAAATTAGAAGTTAATAACAACATTAGCGTTTTTTAAATAATATCGATTTGTAAAGTATGATCAATGCTATTACAGTTCATTAAAGATGCTTAAATTATAATAATAATAAAGATATAATAGCTAATAGAATATCAACTAAAAATAAGGAAATTTGGATATGATAGAGAAGATTTGTAGCTCAGGTGGATGATTTTGATGTGGTTGTGTTCTCTGACTTCAAATTGAAGTATGCGCTGAAGATGTCACCCAGTAGGGTGATGAAAGCTTCGCAAATTAACTATCCAGCTCAGAGAACACAACCACATCAAAATAGGGAAATTTCACAAAAATTCTGGATTACTCAAACCTGGATGGCCAAGGTAATGATAATGACTGAACTAACTTCTTTCGGATGCAAAAATTAGGCTTGTTATTATGGATCCCCACAGCCTCACCAATATTAAGAAGTCGAACTCTTAAAGCAAAATAGAGATTCGTAGGTATGCGGTAAATGACCCCGAAAGCATGATTAACGTCAATCTTGTGTTCTGTCTCCACAAGATGCGCCAGAATAGCACTGCGAATAGATTTTGTTTGACCTTTGCTTAACCGGGCAGGGTGATGTTCGGAAATTCGAAGAGAAACACGCCTAATTGTACGGCCTATGTAACTGGCTCCACAGGAGCAGTTAAATTGCCCGATTATTTTGATTAACAGTTGTTACTTGTTTTGAATTAGAACCATACCAACTTATACATATTTTGAAACTGTATATCTATCGAGAATGAATTTGACAAAAAAGCTATCTTTGCTAAGCTTATTGTTTTCTAATGGGCATTTTCCGTGACTATAAGCTGCATCATTATTTTCTGTATCCGAGTAATTTAGCTTAAATATTTCATCTACTTACTAAAAATTAAGTAGCTTAACGTTTATAATCACATTTTATTCGTAGAAATTTTCTTTCCGGGTGAATAAACTTATTTTTTATCAAAAACCAGCGTCATAATGTCAAACATTTGGCGTTATCTGAAAATAAAAAAGCCACAAAACACTTACCTAATGACGCCTAAACACACTAAAAACGTATTTCTATAGGTAGTGATTAGACCGAAATTTAGCATTGTTTACAACACTGTCAACAGCACACTAAGTGAAAAACACCTCGGTGTTTTCTATGGGAGACGACTGGCTTTCAGCGAGAAAGTTAAGTATGTGTAACGCTATAGGTGGCTATGAAATTGCAGACATATGCTATTTACTAGGCTTACTATTCAGTGACGCGAAGTTGCAGAACACTCATTACTGAGAAAAGCGTGATTGAGGTTCTGCATCAAGCTCTCTGGTAGTGTGCTTATCTGTATTCATCCATCTTTGAAATCCAGATCTCAGAAGTAACCTGATTTACGGTTAGGTAATTCAGCAAAAAGGTTACCAGTTGGTGGACAGAATATTATTCACTTGAGAATGACTATGAAAATTGTCTTATGGTTTTCAAGATTCTATGTTTGGTGGTAGAGGAAACTATCAGTACAAAATGCTCACATGGAGTGAAAATATCTAAAGGCGGTCGTCAGGAGAATGAAGAGTACAGCTAACTACAAAAATCTCGCAAAACAATTGCCATATCTCTACATTAAAATTTACTCCAAGGTTACTAACCAATTACTTCACCCATTTTGAAGTGGGTTACACATGTAAACTGAAGAGAAACTCAGTCACTAGAGATGCCTCGGATTTAGGTTTCATCCTTATAGATACTTGTTTAGTGGAGTATTGAGGTAGTTTTGAGAAAAAATTCCTGTTCTCTCCATGATTCTAACCGTGAACGAAGTCAGCGACTTAGCCACTGAGCAACCCAGACAATTGTTGTGCTTGAATGTTGTCTGTCACCGAATAAAGTAACTCTTATACTATGACAGGAAATTCACAGTAGAACAGGTTTAAAACCATGAAAGAAACATGAATCTCTTCGGAATTTCAGGTAAACTTTATTGATGAAGGCTGAAATGTCTGCCTTCCAGGCGGCACAGGGCTTCCTGCTGACTAATCTCTTCTAACATCCAAAACCGAGAAAGGACAAAGAACCAGAAGTTACCATAGCCCTTTATAATAACCACTACATGCATTGAACAGATATTCTGTTGATAAATCGAACACTTTAGAAGTGCCTGGTGCCACAGTGTTTTGATTGGACACTAATTAGCAATTAGAATCATGCTTCTCGTCCTTTGTTTTTCGTGCATACTCAATTCTTTCAGTCAAACTTGTAATGTGGCCACCACTGTGTTAGGTGGCTTGACATCACTGCTGTTATTTGATGGTTTGAGGCAGTCAGCAAGAAGCCTCGAACCTAGATTTCGTGCTTCTTAGCGCTCACCAGTCAACAAAGCATGCATCTGCAATCGCCTTGAAGGAACTCATATCCCTCTTGAAATCCGAACTCATGTCACTTGTGTGTGTATTTCAAAGTCTTTCCCATATAAATGGAGAAGGATTAGTAAAATGTGTTTTAGCACATTAACCGTCAGATACTGACGAATTCTTTGGTTGGTTAAGTCACTGACTTATACTTCAATCCTAACCTCAGAGTTTCATATTTTGTAGTTCTACTCAAAGATAGAGATGGTGGACCTACAAATGCCATGTTGCCAAATGCTACAAGCGTTTTTATATCCTGTGATGATCTTGTTTCACAGTTATGTAGAAACAGTGAAGAGTCTGCAGCTTGGTAAAATCAACATTTAATGAACGCGGCATATAGCTAACATGGATACATTTTTTATTGCTTTACATTCTAAGTGGAACATATTGCTTCAAGCGAGAGATGTGAAGTAACGGCAGCAGTGGTATTTATTTTTACGAGGTGGGTTTGCTAGCCTCACGCTCAGCCCCCCCCCCCCCACCTCTCTAAAAGCTTTTCCGTCTTACCTTCTACATCAAGAAGTTAAAACATTCTGGTATAACCCAACCCTTACTCCTACCTACAATTCGTTAACTCTCGCATTCTGCCTATTATTCTCTATTGTTCCCCAGGCTACTGAAGAAAGACTATAACATATTACGCAAGATGTTAGAGGTTGTCGGCAGAGTAAGCAACGTGCCACTTAACCAGCTTGTTAATATTCTGGTCGACAGGCACATGGACTCATGTGAAAAATGGGCCAAATCCATTTTATCTAACTCACATCATCCTCTTCACTCACAACTCTCCCCTTGCATCTCATCAGGCAGAACCAGAAGCCTATATAGAAAACTATATGCTCGCACCAGCAAGTACAAAAACTCAAACATACCCTACTTAGCTCGTGTTCTGTGCGATAAAGAAAGCAATAGGCGTGACACCTATAATACATTAAATAGTCAGGAAAACAACTGTACCTCGTCTTTCCAACTCATATAATTTATAGGTACAACATTATCTTTCTTTCTTCTCCTTTTCTCTCTCTTCTTTCCTTTTTCCGTTATGTGCTGCTTTGTTTCTCTCTTCCGCTTTCGCCAGTAAATATGATAGCACCCACTTTTCTAACACCTTCAAACACTGTTTCGGCTTTTCCTTTGCTACCGACATGCCAATGTGTTGTTGTAATAATGAACTGTGATTTCCCTAATCTTCGTAGAATTCTATTTATTGATAATGTACTAACTGGATGCAATACTGTACTGTAGTAAAAATGCTGAGAATTCCATTCTGTTTCACATGTTCTGTTTTGGAATAAAGCTTTTATTATTTTTATTACCTTCAACTTAGCGAGGTTAAGAGGTAAGCCGGCCAGAGATCGAAACCCAGACCACGTGAGGCATAGTTGGCGAGCCTTCTACTGCTAAACCACCAGCGTACAGGTTAACAGGGAACCATTACAATTTTACTACTGATTTGGATTCTTAAACCTTATGCCACAGTGGCGAATGACGTCTCAATAAAGTGCGTTTTATAAATGAAAACCGTAAGTGATCACACAGTTTAGAACACTACTTGTCTATAAAAACAGGTGAAGAGGGTAAAACTGTCAGACAGTAGAAGAAACAAAACACGGAATATAATTTAATTAAATAATTAAACAACTAACCTCTGTACCAAGTTGTAAAATTGTGTTTAACACTTGTGGCATATTGCGTAATTCGTATAGATCAACTGTTTGAAATAAACTGGCTCTAGGTACACCGTATGCACAGGCTGCGTTTAAAAATGTTTGAATATTTTCCATCTACAAAAGTGAAAAGTGAAATTTTATTATGTAATTCATAATATGTAATGAAGTGTGTGCATGTGTGTGTGTGTGTCACAATGTGCATTATTTACTGTCTATATCTCACAGGAGACCAGGAATTCTCACTGAAGATGTTCGACATACCCAGGGATTAACAATTATTATTATTGTTTGCTTTAATTCCTAAAAGAACATAGGGCTTCAGCCGTGCGTCTCCATTGCGTTCGGTTCTCTGCTACAGTCTTCACCTGGCTCCAAGTCTGCTCACACGTTTTCATCTCCTCATCACATCACCTCCTCCAAATCACCCCACCTTCGCACTGACGACCAACTCGCCGCTTCCCTTTCGGGTTCCACTCGAGCGATGGCTTGTCTAGTGATGTCACTTGATGGATTGTTTCCTCAGAGTATGGCCAGCCAATCCATCTCCATTTCTTCCTGCCTATTTGTTTCTAAATCGGTTCCTGCTGGGTTGGTTCGCTCATTACCAGAGATCTCTGTTGCTGATCTTTTCTGACCGGCCATCTGATCTTCAGTAGTATTGAGCGAAGACAACTGTTAATGAAGGTCTGTAGTTTGTTTGAGATGCTGTTTATGACGCGCAGTGCAAGTCTCTGATCCGTTTGTTAAGTAGCACTGACTTCACATTGGAGTTGAAAATCCGGATCTTGACAATTTTTGATGCTGAGTGCTGTTGACCTCCACACAGACTTGAGAGTAGTGAAAGCTTGTCTTGCTTTTCCGATTCTTGCTTTGATATCCTCGTCAGTTCCGTCGGCCTGTAGTTGAAACGATGCTTCTCAGGTAGGTGGTAGAGGAGGTTGTTTCTTTCAGGTTCCTTCCATTTATGCTGATCGTTGTCTGTTGTTGTTGTTGTTGCTGTTGGTGGTGTTGCCCAGGAATCGTAATCACCTCTGTTTTCTCTATGTTCACCTGAACAAACTGATGTTGAAATAATGCGTGATGCCTAGAGATGAAGTGAGTGTCTCCGTTGTGGAAGGATTCAAACCACAGGTCTTCTTCCTATTCAGCTTCCACTCGATAGCCTGTTTGGCATATGTTTTCACTTGAAGGTTTCATTGCATATGTTTCGAGGCGATAGGTTTTTGTTTTGTTTGTTCCCAGAGTTCCATTTTGTTTGTTTTCCCTGGCTGGTCATCTCATCTTCACTATCTAGTGAAGGCAACTGTTGATGAAAACCCGAAGCCACCCGTTGGAAAGGCTTCCTGTGACTCGTCAAGTCTCTGAACAATATGTAGAAGTACTAATCTGACATTAGTGTCGAAAACATAGATTTTGATTCGTATGCTGACTTCGTAGCAGACTTCCACACTGATTACAGAGTGATGAAGGTCTATCTTTGTATTTCCAATTCTGGATTTGACATTCTCAACTATTCTGCCTAAATAAGTTTAAGGAACGAATCCATTCGTATTTTTCCCTTTGTGGTGATTACTGTTTTTTGTTGTTGACCGTTGGGTATCGTCTTCACTTCCATTTTGCTTTATATTAACCTGAATACTGGTCTTGATTAACTCTTCAGTCAATATGCTAGTTTTCATGTGTAAATCTTTGCAGTGTTGCGACATGAGACATAAATTATCTGTGGAATTCAGATCTTCTAAGGTTTTTTCATCACTTCAAAGTATGCCTTTCTACTACATTATCAATTGTTCCCTTGGGTTCCAAGTGGAACATAGGGCTTCAACTGCACGCCTCCACTTGCTTCTGTCTTCTGCTGTACTTTTCACCTGCATCCATGTTAGTCCATACTGTTTCAGCTCCTCTTCACACGATCTCCTCCATGTCACCCTTGGACGTCCCACTCACCGCTTCCCTTTCGGGTTCCACTCGAGCACTGGCCTGACGCGCGATGTCATCCAGCGGTCTCCTGAGCGAGTGTCCAATCCATCTCCACTTTCTCCTGCATATTTGTTGGACGATTGGTTCTTGTTTTGTCTGTTGCCATAGTTTCTTGTTGGTTCTTGTTCATTCCGGCCATCTGATCTTCAGTATAGAGCCAGAGAAGACAGTTTTTGATAAAGGTCTGCAACAGGCTGTTGGAAATATTCTTGGTGACCCGCCGCCAAGTTTCTGATCCGTATAGAAGAACTGACTGACTTGATGTTTGTATTGAAAATCCGAATTTTGTTGTTGATGCAGGCTGAGTGACTGTTGTTGTTGTTGGTTGGTTGGTTATTTTCATAACCTCCGTCTTGTTTATGTTCACCTGGAGTCCTATCTTTACTGATCCTTCGACGACCAGTTTGTCGATTTTCGCTTGTAAGTCTTCGATTTTGTGTGACATCAAACATAAATCATCCACACGCGAAATCCAGGTCTTCTAGGTCCCTCACGTTGGTCCAGGATATCCTTGTCTTCTCGTTTCGCACTGTCTGACGCATAATCCAGTCCACCACAATTAGGAATATCATTGGTGATAATAAGCACCCTTGTCTGTTTCTACTACATGATCTCGTCTAAAACAATCACGAGGATCATCTGTGATGGTAGGCAGCTCCACTTTAAACGCTTCTGTAAGATTTGCGTTGTGTATTTATCAGTATGTGACGTCACCATACACCTGCTGAATGAGGTTACCTTATTTTAAGTAAAAATGCTTAAAGGCGTTTAAGGAGCCGACAGATTAACAGGTGAAATGCAGGAAGTTTCCAAAAAGTTGTCTATGATTGAAGAGTAGCAACAGTAATGGTAAGGATTCGACTGACTGATTTCTGTGTAGAATTCGTCACAAACTGAAGCCATCTGGAATACAGTCAAATTTGGAGCTGTTACGTAATGTACACATACAGCTTATACGTCGAACGTTTAGGTTAAAACACTAGTGTATTAACACCAATTTATGCTACAGAAATCTGAATATTCATGATATTCAAATCCTTTTGATATAAGATATGGAGCCATAGTTACAACGTGTCATCAGTTAGTAATTATTATTCTGACGTCTGACTTCCTCCAACCCAGACATCACGAGTTCTCATAGATTTGACAGAATTTAAATCTACGGATAATTGAATTCTGAGTAACAGGCTGAAGTGTGAACCACCTGCCTCAAAACTCAATGGTCTTCTTCTCGGTACTTCCCAAGATTTCGAGTCAGAATTTGTGAAGAGTTGCAAACTATGAGAAAACAGTTGACAGACTCTTCACCACTCTTCAACGTTTCCCAGATAGAAGGATGTCTTTGCTGACAAAACCCACTTCATTATTACTAGTTTTCATTATACTTCATTGTTCCCTTGGGTTTATTGTGGAATATATCGGGCTTCACCAGCACGTTCCCATCGCTCATCTTCTCTTCGCCCCACGATATCCTCCATGTCACACTCGAACCGATGATCCACTCGACTGATGACATGGTGTGTAATGTAATTTGAAGGCCTCCTCAGTGTATGCCCAATCCATCTCCATTTTACTCCTACATATTTGTTGAGCGATGGGCTCTTGGTTGGTTTGTTCCCATAGTTTCTTGTTGCTGATTCTTTCTGACTGGTCATTTGATCTTTATTATGAAGCCAGGGAAGGCAACTGTTGATAAAAGTCTGCAGAAACGTATTGTAAGTGTTTTTCGTGTCTCGCCAAGTTTCTGACCCGAATCTTGTTGTTTATGATGAGGCAGAGTGCAGAATGTTTCCAAGAACTGATTTCAGATTGATGAAGATGTACCTTGCCTTTCCAATTCTGGCTACCTTTTACATCTTCATGCGTGCCGCCTGTCTGCCGTTGAAACGATACTTCCTAGATAAGTGAAGCGAGTAACCTCTCTCAAATCTCTCCCGTTGACAGTGAATGGTACTGACTGTTTTTGTTGTTGCATTCGCACCTGACAAAACCTACTTTAATGACTTTGAAAAAGAGAAAACGTTCAGCGAAGAGACTCTTTTCGACGGCGAATTCATTCACATAGCTGTACAATCGCATTTATGTATAGTTATTTGTGTGTGTGTACATGATGTTTGTCAAGTTTAGATAATTAATCAGGTAATACAAGAATGATCTAATATAGAAACTAGGTTAATTAGACAGCAACTAAAGTAAGATTCAGTTAGTAATTTAGATGACGTAATATAATTTACTAAAATGTTTCAACTTAAGTTAGAGTAGCAACATAGGTAATTACAGGTAGAGACTAAGTGGAAGTGGGGTAGAGAATAATGCCATTTAAGTTAGAACTGAAATTGAGCAAATAAGCTGGATGACATAACATAAAAGACTAGAAACTGAGCATTGGTCAAGTCAGTAGCAGTGTTAATGAGGTGCAGAAATTAAATTGAGTGGGGGTAGAGAATTCAGTGGGGATTTTTAAGCTATTTAATGACTTTGTTAAAATCAGTGTATTTAAGTATCACTCCCCATTCCTAAAACTACTTCGTTATTATTCCCAATTCTCTGACATATAACTCAATCGTTTTCTTGCAGAATAAATCCATCCGCTTCGCTTGATAAGCTTAAATATGTGAACATCTAATAAGACGCCTAATGAATTCGACACCTATGAGACCTCTTGAGACCTTCAACCAGGGTCTAAATAGCTGAATTCAAACTTTCTGCTTCATTTTGTAATTCACAGCATTCACCAAACACAGGAAATATGAGTAACTTTTAGAAAACATCGATATCCGCCTGTGGATCCTCTGCACACCAACAGTAAACAGTTGATCTCATTTTCGGTGGAAATTTCTTGAGCAGTACTCACTCATGAGGCTGTTCGGATTTCAGCCTCTGATTATCATTTAATCGACAAGCAAACACTTTTGTTCATCTGTTGAATCCGAATCTAGTCGTGTTGTGCATATTTTTATTCCTACCATCTCGATATACTAAAAGTCAACTGGTGTAAGAATGTAATGTACATAGTTTTTACAAAGAGTATCTGGTGCAGAAACGTTAGTGCCAATAACTTTCACCGCACAGCCTCAATGTGTGAATACAGATCACCCCATTAACATTAAACCTGACCTCTGTCTATTCTCTTCCAAATCTAAGGAATAGTCCTGATTATTATTTCTTTTTATTCCTTTACGTTCCCAGTGGAACATAGGGCCTCAGGCTACATGCTTGAAGTTTCGGTAGCAGTGGTGTTTATATCTGCGGAATAGGGTTACTAGCCTTATGCCCAGCCTTCCCTCTTCAGAAGTCTAACTACTGGCTTAGTGAGGTAAAGGAGTGCGTCCGTGGCCAAGCCACATGAAGCGTGGTTGGCGAGCATTCGACCGTTGTGTTACTGACGCGCATCCCGATTATTATATGAGTCTTAAGAATACGTTACTCTGACATAAAAACGTAAAGCACTGCATAACTGCTTAATTTCGCCTCTTCTATGTGTATCTACCAATTTGACTGCCCCCAATGGAGCCATTAGTTACATAGGCCGTACAATTAGGCGTGTTCATCGTCACATTTCCGAACACCATCCTGCACCAATGGTTAGGTAAGTGACAAACAAAGTCTATTCATAGTTCTATACCATCTCATCTCGTAGATGCACAACACAAAGCTGATGTAAGCGAGGAGACTTTCAAAGTCATCTACTGTATATCGACCGAATAATCTTAATTTCACCTCAAGAGTTCGTCTTTTACATATATTTCTGAAGAGGCTGTTGGAATCTACATTAAGAAGCCTAACCTATGTATCCAAAAGAAAAAGTTGGTTGGTTCAGACGCTCTCCTCACCTTGGCTGTCAATGATGGTTTCTTTTGTCTTACAAAGGTAGTCATTGGTAATACTTCCTGTGACCACTTATTATAACAAAGATTTTTGAATATCAAGAGTTCTGATACATTATATAAATAATACCTGTAGCGGTAAGAAGACTGATATCTCGGAATCTGGCACTAGACTAGGTAGGATTGATGAGAATGTCTGTTTCCCACTGCTGATAAAAGTTCATCACTCATGTTTGTAGAATTAACTATAAGCTCATTGAAAGGATAGGACTTCAGGTGAACATAGAGAAAACAGAGGTGATGAAGATTCCTGGCCAACACCACCAACAGCTACAGCAACAACAACAGACAACAATCAGAATAAATGGAAGGAACCTGAACGATACAACCTCTTTTATCTACCTGAGAAGCATCGTTTCAACTACAGACAGACGGAACTGACGAGGATACCAAAGCAAGAATTGGAAAAGCACGACAAGATTTCACAACTCTCAAGTCTGTGTGGAGGTCAACAGCACTCAGCATGGAAATGAAAATAAGATCCGGATTATCAACTCCAATGTGAAGTCAGTGCTACTTAACAAACAGATCGGAGACTTGGCGTGTCATAAAGAGCATCTCAAACAAACTACAGACCTTAATCAACAGCTGTCTTCGCTCAATACCACTCAAGATCAGATGGCTGACCAGAATAGATCAGCAACAGAGATCTCTGGCAATGAGCGAACCAGCACAGCAGGAACCGATTGTGAAACAAATAAGCAGGAAGAAATGGAGATGGATTGACTGGCCATACTCTGAGGAAACAAGTTATCAAGTGACATCACTAGACAAGCCATTGCTCGAGTGGAACCTGAAAGGGAAGGGGCGAGTTGGTCGTCAGTGCGAAGGTGGGGTGACTTGGAGGAGTTCATGTGAAGAGGAGATGAAACCATGTGGGTAGGTGGACGTGGAACCAGGTGAAGACTCTAGCAGAGAACCGAACGCAATGGAGACGCACGGCTGAATCCCTATGTTCCTCTAGGAATTAAAGGAAACAATAATAATATAATAATAATCAATGAAACGATAATATTGCGTCTGACTTCAAAAGTCAGCTGGGACGGCGTGTAGGCTCAAACTTTAGGCCTTCCCCTATTCATCCGAAAATTTAATTTCACCTTTGACTTGAAAAGCCAAATGATAAAGTCTTCTACTACTCACTGGTAGACAACACTTGTTGAACAGAGAAAGAACAAACATTGGTGCAGAATAACATCGATCTATAAGTTAATCAAATTAGAAAACAAAAGGTCATTAGGGTATGAGTCACCAGGGCAGCTGAAATCTAACGATAAAAATTCCTATTGGACACACAGCTCAGGTTAAGGGTTGATTGCTTACAGGATTTCATCATGAGTTGATATCAGTTACAGAGGCATTGGATAAGCACCAGGTGGCAATAGACAGCTAACTGTTTCGTCACCCTTGTTTGCCACTCTCCAGGACCTCCTGGTTACAAGGTTAGCCTATGGACTATTCATCATCATCATCACTGAGACCCGATGCAATGGCCAGTTCTTGAATTCTAACTTTTGCCAATTCACGACTTCCAACTAATTCCCAGGTAACTAACTACCTATATGAATAGGTCCAGTCGCTAGTGAGTTACCAACCTAAAGAACAGATTTGTCAATTAAATTTTCAAAAATCCTCCATCTAGCAAGATGTTTATACATACACTATGATACCTAATCATCCTGATGTTTTATTTCACTATGACGCTAGTTACAAAATGCCATGATGATGGGCACAAGTATGTTAAAGTTGTACACTAACTTCTCCTATTTTATTAAAGATTATAGGTTGTCCTCAGGTGATGAGAACCAGTGTAATAAAATGCATGGATGTTATTCTGCACCAATGTTCGTTCTATCTCTGCTCAAATTAATCAAAAAAAGGGAATTCGTGTATGAAACACTTGTTGAATCCATATGGTTTGCATAAATGTATTAAATGAGAAACCAGAATAAACCCAAATCTCTAATACTCAAAGTCTACCATCAGAACAAATCCCCCTTGCCTACTTTGTATGTCACTCATCCTATCAGTTAGTTATTTTAGGTCAACTGGAATCAAACGTTGATGAAACAAAAGTTCGACTAATTGTCACTGGTTAATTAAATGGTAAGGCTGTCTGTCTCTCATAGCAAACAGTAATGACTGAAAATGAAATGAAAACCTCGTATCATAGTGTGGCGTGTCCTACTGATAAGAATTATCAGTAGTATATATACAGAAGTTCATCAGCACAAAATATATTCAGATAGCAGAGTGATAGACTTGACGTCATAGAAAGTAAATGAACCAGTGTTTCGGCGATACATGCAAGACACGAAAAGAAGACAAGAAAACACAATACGAACAGCGAAGGGCGGAGGGCGGCGAGAAGTAGTACAACACGTAAGATCCTTACAAATGACGATTTTCAGCTAAGGTTTATTATTATTATTCCCTTGGGTTCCTAGTGGAACATAGGGCTTCAACTACACGTCTCCACTTACTTCTGTCTTCTGCTGTACTTTTCACCTAAATCCATGTTAGTCCATACTGTTTCAACTCCTCTTCACACAACCTCCTCCATGTCACCCTTCGACGTCCCACTCGCCGCTTCCCTCTCGGGTTCCACTCAAGCACTGGCCTGACGCGCGATGTCACCCAGTGGCCTCCTCAGCCAGTGAGTGTCCAATCCATCTCCACTTTCTCCTGCATATTTGCTGCTTGGCCATTGGTTCTTGTTTCGTTTGTTCCCATAGCTTCTTGTTGGTGATTCTTTCCGGCCATCTGATTTTGAGTATAGAGCGAAGACAGTTGTTGATAAAGGTGTGCAACAGGCTGTTGGAAATATTCTTTGTGACCCGCTGCCACGTTTCTGATCCATCCGTATAGAAGAACTGACTGACTTGACGTCGTTTGTATTGAAAATCCGAATCACTTTGTTGTTGATGCAGGCTGAGTGACAGCGGAAGATTTCCAGATTGGTTGTTCAGGTTGATGAATGTGTTTCTCGCCTTCCCGATTCTCGATCTGACATCCTCGTCCACTCCTGCTGTAGTTGAGACAATGCTCCCTAGATAAGTGAATGAAGCAACCTCTTTCAAATACCTTCCGTTGATGGTGATTGGCGCTGGATGTTGCTGCTGTTGTTGTTGTTGGTTGGTTATTTTCATAACCTCCGTCTTGTCTATGTTCGTTCACCTGGAGTCCTGTCTTTGCTGCCAGCCTCTTCGACCAGTTTGTCGATTTTCGCTTGTAAGTCTTCGATTTTGTGTGACATCAGACATAAATCATCCACGCGCGAAATCCAGGTCTTCTAGATTCTTCACGTCGGTCCAGGATATCCCTGTCTTCTCGTTTCGCACTGTCTGACGCATAATCCAGTCCACCACAATTAGGAATATCATTGGTGATAATAAGCACCCTTGTCTGACTCCTGTGTTTATTCGAAACGCCTTACTGAGTTTTCTGTTGTGGATCACTTGACACGTGACGTTGTCGTACAGCTGTTGAATAAGGTTGATGAATATTTGGGGTACGCCGTAGTACTCGAGTAGTTTCCAAATTACTTCGCGGACAACGCTAGAAATTATGTATACTAAGGTGTACATAATTTCCCTAAATCAAGATACATAAATTCCATATAAACATTCCGTTACCAATAGCATGATGTGAAACCAATATGGTTTCCAAATTACTGGCGCTTAACATTCTACCAACTTGACTACACAATTTACTGAAGTTATTCAACACTGCTGCTTATGTAAGTAAAAATGAATTTTACTCACTTGTTTAAATGGTGCAGTCATGGTGTTGGCTTTGAATGGCCTCTTCATTTTAGCCGCTGCTGGAGGCAGTGATGCAGTACCATCGAATACAACGTTAACCAATCTATGAAAAGATTAAAAAGAGGGAGAGAGAGGGAGTTCACGAAAATTATGATGAATAATCGACATTACTTTAAGTTAAAAAAAAACAGAAACCAGTTTGCCTGTGTTACCTAACAAAATCGAAATTGCTTCCTGACTACAGGTTTATGTGTATAGAGAAGATTTGTAGCTCAGGTGGATGATTTTGATTTAGTTGTATTCTCTAGAACCTCATCTAGTTTAATAGTTCTCTAGTTTTCTAGCCGGTCCCAAGACCGGGTGAAGAAGAGTTGGGCGTGGGGCCGGCGACCCTACCCCACAAAACCAATCAAACTACTACATACATCTCGACGCACAAGAAGAATATTAAAAATACAGAAAATATTTTTTTTAAAAACCTTATTTTTCCTCCGGAATTGGAGAGGCGAAATGACACAGCGGGCTGGTGAAAGCCTTAGGGAAGCCAGTCAGCCAGCCGATGTGTTTTCTCTCGATGAAAGCAAGAATAATACTGGGGACGCGAAATATTTGTACAATGCACGAAGCTGAGAAGGCTGCCACAGAAGTAACCAAAGAAATGAGAAGTGGTGCGAATCTGCAAGAGCAAATGGAATGGATGTGGAGAGTCAATAATCTACTCTAATCATCCAGAGGATATCCACAAGCACACTGAGGCAGTGAGTGGTTATCATGATGTCACCAACAGCAGCCAAAGTCCTAATGCAGTGGAAACCGATTTCATCCAGGGTCATGATAGCAAGATTCAACTCAACAGGAAGTAAGGTTACAATTATCCACTGCTGCACACCTATAAACAACTAGGATTAAGGGAAGAAGGAAGATTTCTATAGACAAATGCAAACAGTAATGGAGAGCATCCCAAACAGAGACATCAGGAATAATAATAATGTGTTCGCTGAGCTGATTGATTTATTTGCGAAGCTATTGTTGTCTCCCTTCTAGACAACATCTTCAGTGCAAGTTTTAGTATGGCGTGAACTTATTTGTGAATTCTCTATGAAATATGTAATTGGATTTCTTGTTAATTTCCATATCTGTGTGACCATTTTTATTGGCTTGGGGTTTAAACATTCTTGTCATGCGATTTATTTTTTTTAGCTGGTAATGTTTAGTTTACCTTCACTTCGTTTTGAGCCAATCTCATTTAGGGAATCACTAATGAGGACCAGACAGTATTGGACGGCTACTTTGTTCTCAGACACGAAAAAGACTTGCGTGGACTGATTCAATCCCATGATCCCTGTAATATTGACGCCACTGTGATAGGGATTCAATATCAATCTCTCTTCGAATCTCTGTTGCTCATCTCATATCTTGCTGATTTCTTATAACATAAACAAGTTGAGACTTTCTGCTGCCACAACTCAACCAACTTCTCTCTTACAATTTATAAATCCGTGTATTCCACCCAATCTTCTTTATTGTTCCCACCCCCCCCCACTTATTCTTCCCTGGACTTCTCAAGAAAGAATATATCATATGACGTAGAACACTGAAGGCTGTAAGCGCGCAGGGTTAGTGGTGTATGCCCTTGACTCAACTAGTTGATATTGTTGTCAATGGACATTTTCAATTCCTTCAAGCAGTCAGCTAAAGTTATCGCATCTGGTGCCGAACATCCTCCTTATTCGTAAATGTCTCCTCGTATCTCTTCAGGTAAAACCAGAAGAAATTTCATAAGCATTCATGCTTGTACGGCTACTAAATATAAAAATTCAAAAACGTACCATTTTAGCACGAGTTTTACGTGTGAAGAGACGAATGTCAGAAAGGAGCTTATAAAGTTTTTTAATTGGAATTATTATTATTACATAAATTATTTAGACAGTTGGAGGCAATCGGCCACAGGAAGCCTTGGCTAGGTTTCGTGCTAGTTGGCACTCACCAGCCAGCAAGGCGTATCTGCAATCGCCTTGAAGGAACTCATGTCCCTTCTGAGATTCGAACCCGCGTCACTCATTGAGTACTGCAGTCAGAGACGTTACCACTGAGCTATTCGGGCTCGTGATTGACTTCCTGTAGGACTGTAATGGGTATTTTGATTGGTCACTAGTAACTAGTGTGACGTGTCTAGTCCTTTCTTTGGTGCAGACTGAATTCTATCAGTCAGGTTTGCAGATATGCCTTGCTGACGAGTGCCAACTAGCATGAAACCTAGGTGAATCAAGGCTTCCTGCCGATTGACTCAAACCACCTAATATCATCAAATCAATGTGCACCGTGATGGCGAGCTACCTAGTGGAATGGTGGCCACATTGCATACCCCTGACTGACTGATAGAATTCAGTATGCACCAAAGAAAGCACTAGACACGTCACACTAGTTACGGTGTCCAATCAAAGTATATACACTACTTATTGTATCGTTTATTCGCTATCCATTATATTCCACTAAATTTCAATTTCTGCGGTTTTATTATTTTTACTGTTTAGTATATATATATATGGACAGCTTTTTTGTTCTAGTTTGGGACTCTTCGGCAGTACGCACCCATCAATAGGGCTCGAACCCAGAACATTCTGGTTACAAGACGAGCTTGTAGACCATCAAGCCACTGGGACCCGATCCAATGACCAACGGATGAATGCCAACGTCTGTCAATTCACGACATAACATAGTCACTAGCCAGTGTCATCGCTGGCGAGTATTTGTCCTCGCACTCGATCTGCTGTAACCTACTGGTCACGAATTTCCACTAGAACCTAGGTGACCTACCTACCTGAATAGGGTCAGTAGCTAGTGAGTAGTGGTCTACGAGCTCGTTGGCTTTGTAAACAGAAGATCCCTGGTCCGAACCCTGTTGGTGGGTGCGTATTGACGAAGAGATCCAACGGCCCATGAAAATGAATCCCTATCACTTCCTGATATCACGCTACCGCCAACTAATACTGCCGACGAGTACCCGCTTCATCCTGACATAACGAATCCAACTAGCCATGAATTGTCACTAGAACGTCAGGATATTTATCCATAAAAATACTGTTAGGCTGAAAACTGATCTTCAAACTATGGATTTGAAGGGGATTTTGGTTAATTTCCCTTTATTGTTTTGTCCACCATATGAAGGTGAGGTAGACACCTCACCGCTAGTTTACGACGTTAACAGACGTTAGAATTCAAAGGGTCATTGAAAGGTGAACGATTGGAGGAATCGTCAACAGGCTGACAGCATAACTTCAATAATAGTGATAATAATAATAATATTAATGACGACACCAACAATAAGGAATCTAAATCATCAGTAGTAATTCCATACAAGGAAGGAACCTCGGAAGCCTTACGCAGAATTCTTAACAAAGCAGGAATAAAAACGGCATTCAAACCCACAACCTCAATTAGAAAAAGCTTTGTCGGTTAAAGTATCAATCCTGTGGAGCCTTTAAAACAAAACAATTTAGTTTATCTAATACCCTGCTGGAATGATTGTCAGGTCAAATACATAGGTCAAACTAGTAGAACAGGGGCAGTCAGACTAGCTGAACATAAAAACTTAGCAAAATCTAGATTGGTTGATCCAAATAAGATAAGAAATCTAGAGAATAGTTCAACCGTAGATAGCCACTACATGCAATTACACACAACCATACAATAGGATGGGATAGGATGACAGTTTTAAAATCTAATGTCACAGGTTGTAGGGAGAGATTGATAACAGGAAGCTTTGTTTATCGAATCAACTACAAATACATGTAATAGGAATGATTCATCACCTGTCCACCCGGATATCTGGAAAATTCTACTACCCCTACGACAAATAGGAGAAAACAAAGAAAACTATAAAACTCAAGTTTCAAAGTCGTGTGATTATAATTGATGAGATGATTATGAACAATAAATTTTGTTCGAAACCTTGTCATCCAGTAAATAATACTGTTTCACTGTGTGATATATCTAATAAACAAACTAATATGGAATTCAATGCCTTCGGTTCCATCCTTGAGGGGACCATTGGTATGCACTGATGAAGAGCCTCAAACTAGTACGAAACAACACTACAGTATTCACTAGTTTTTTGCATTGGTCCTCCAACTAATGTCAATTCTACCTTCGAAACTTTCTATCCACTAATTATATAATAATTTAACAAGTATAAATTAAAAATATTCAATTTTTACTTGATCAATATTTGTCCATTTTTTAAAGCAGCCGCAACATTTTCTCTTCCAAATGGAACATTCTCGCTAGTTAATTGATTCACCCAACCAATCGCTTCAGCTTCACTCTCAGCATCATATTTGCTGTTTAACTGTAATGGAAAATAATGAAAGTAATGATAAATTGTTGAACTAGAATTAAATTCATAAACTTTTATTTAATTTATTAAATTAAATTAAACTAAATGTGTAGAATAGATCTGATCTATCAGTGGACGACATTCATCTGAAAGTTTAAACTTTCTTTCATTTAACAAGCGTTAAAAATAAAGAGAATCCCTTCCCTTCTATACTTGAGAAATCTGCGGTCAGTACTATTTGTCATCCACTGAAACCCGATCCAATGGTCAGCCCATAAATTCCAACTTCTACCAACAATTCACGATATCCTCTGACTGGTGGTAGCCAATTTCATCGCTGGTGAGTATTTGTCCTTACAGCCTCTTTCCTGTACCCCACCGGTCACGACTTCTCACTAAAGAACCCAGGTAACTGCCTACTGGAAAGACCTAGCTTCGAAACACACACTAGGGAGAAACAGCTGTCCAGTATTCCCTACAGGTTTTCCAATGATTTTCTAACCAATTTCAGCTCGTGTTGAAGTCCTGTAATCAATAAAATCAAGTTTAATTGAATTTTAGATTTTCCCGTCGATTGATTGAACCGAAGTGCTCGGTCTCAGGTTGACATGTCTGTCGGCTTCTTGTGCAGATGCTTCGACGATATCTGGGCATTTAATTAGAATTTAATTTGTGGATGGTGACCAGGATGCGCATTTCGTCCTATTTGGGACTCGTCACTGGATGTACCTGCATTTCCCAGTGAGTGATGATGTTCCCACCGAGGCTCGAACTCAATGCCCATAGTTTCAAACGCCAAAGCGTTGTCCACCAGACAGACCACTTGGGGCACGAGAGCCACCTCGGGTGCATTGGGTCCAAGTGGTCTAGTGGATAATGCTTTGGCGTTTGAAACTATGGGCACTTGGTTCCAGCCTCGGTGGGAACATTATCATTCACTCACTGGGGAATGCAGGTACATCCAGATGAAGAGTTCCAAATAGGACGAAATGCACATTATCCTGGATTCCACTGCTAGTCACCATCCACCAATTAAATTACGTCTTCTTATTGCTTAATCTAAATTCATAAAGGGAATTAATTGTTTTAAACATTTCCTTTACTTTTAAACACATACCTCCAGTTTCTAATGCACTTTATTTAAACTAATTGACAGGCAGTAGTATTTCTTTGATTGGTTAGAGGATTTCATTATGATTAGCTGACATCAGTTAGAGAACCACTGGAAAACCTGCAGGGAGTACTAGACAGCTGTTTCGTCCGTCCTAGTTTGGGACTCTTCAGCCTACTGCTACAAAACCAATCAATACTTGACGACTAGGAGTATTTCTCTTAACACTGTTGTGAAAAAGTGACAAAATGTAAATCCTTGGTATAATATTTCTTTCATCTTCTGTTTATTTTAAAGGTTATTAATCCTAACCCAAACGAAGAGTTTTCTGCCAACTTGAAGAATTTGCTTTTCATTCTTTCCTTACCGACCTAACGGGAACATGGAGCTTCACAGCGTTAAAGTTTCCTTGGTGAAATTTTTTTTTCTGAACATACTACTGGCTAGTGAAGTAACTAGTAGAGGTTTAGGAGTGCATCAAAGGGAGAATTAAACCCTGATCTTGAGACTGGCTAGTTAAACTACCGACACACATTGAACTGGCCCACACCTCCCCCTTTCAATAGGGTGCAAACAAACTCTGCTTACCCTCTTCTTCTTCTTTAGAACTGATAACTTCAGTCCATTGTGGGAAACAATGTAAAATTCACAAGGAGACTGGACATTATTCTGGTTCCGATTAACGTCTCTTTTAGTTTGTTAAAGTTCTTTCAAGAATTCTTCCTTGATGAATGGGCCGTGTAAAGGCATAAATCACTTCTTTGCATTTCAATTAATGTAGGTTTTTGCCAGATGACTAAATAATTGAGCCCGTAGTGTGAGTAATAAGTCGAAGTGTTTAAAAGAGAAGATGAAATATATATGTAAAAGAGACGTTGTAACTCAATTATTCACTCTCTTTACCTCTCAGAGTCTTTATTTACAAAAATCTATCATGAGTGACGTGAGAAGAGAAGTACAGGAATAGGCTTTAATCACGCTATGCGTCTGTGATTAAGCATAACTTTTATCGAGACTCATTTATTCTCCAACACCCAAATGATATTCAACGCCTTCAAAGTCATCTACAATGCAAAGAGTAATTTACCCAAATCCCTACGTACCCGACTCATCTGTATTGCTGAAGCCATCTTCGGCTATCGAAACAGAAAAGCCAGATTTCTGTGTACAGAAAAAGTTCGTTCAATCCCTCCAACTTTCATGGTCTTAATCCCTCTATGCTAAAGTACGGTATTCCCCAATCATATTTTGGCTCTACCAATTTTCATTTTTCATTTTTGTCTATTCAATTTGTATACTCTTCCTTAATAAGCCAATTGTTATTATTACTACTCTCACTTTTAACTGTCCCCGGTATTATTTCACTTGTTCCACTTGTCATTCTAAATCAATTCCTTTATGCAACATTAAATTATATGCTTTTAAATTTCACACACTATTATGTGACGTTTTCATTTTATTCGATTTGTCTACTAATCTTATAATTGCACACCCTTTTTCAAGTTCTATCCATCCTATGAATTATTCCATATATGACATTAATTTGCTTTGCCACTTGACATTTAACTACGATTGTAATCACAAACATTTTGGTTTTAATTGCATTTTATATTATTATTATTTTATGCATTCACACCTATGATTTAATTCCCTCACCGGATATAACTTCTTAAAAACTACATGTATATACGATTGTACAGCTTGATGATAAATTTGGTGAAAAGAGCCTCTTCGCTGAATCATTTGTTTTGATTTTCTATATGATATTCAAGTATTGGTTTGCAGGGATTTGATTGGTTACAGGATTTCATCACGAGCTGGCATCAGTTAGAGAACCTGAGAGTACTGAACAGTTGTTTCGTCCTGGTTTGGGATTCTTCAACAGTATGCATCCACCTGGGTTTGAACCCATAACTTTTAGGTTACAAGGCCAACTCGTAGGTACGTACTGATGAAAGGCCTCAAAATAGGTTTTCCAGTGGCTCTCTAACCAATTCCAGCTTACGATGAAATCGTGTAACCCACCTAATGCTACTACTACAAGACTATTTAGACTCCCCTAAGTAGAATTAAGGTGAAATGCTTGATTTAGTCAATAAAACTCTGAATTTTGGTAATACATATATTTCATCCAAAGATCTTCTATGAATCTTCATCAATTAACCTTATTTGCTAAACAATAAATTATTACCTGATGTCACTTAACAAGATGAAAGTAGTTTGTAGTGCAGCACTGTGTAGTAGAAGTTCTAATCTCTGATGGGAAGTCAATTCCTTTGAGACTCCAGATACACTCTGATAACTTACTCCAATCATCTAACAATGGTTGCACATATTCGGTAGCAGGAATGAACTCTGTATGCTACTAGCTCGTCACTGTTTCTCATCAGCAATGTGTCAAACACTCAGAGATTTCCTGAAACCACATGGAACTACACTTTGTTTTTGTATTTCAAAGATTTCACAAGTCTTAATTAAGTCCTACACTGTAAGTTTGTATTAATAGAACAATTTGTCAACTCTTGTATCTTACCTATTCTACTTTACTGCTCCCCGTTATTCTTTCCTGGGCTACTGAAAAAGGACTGTACCATTTTGAGAAGGATGTTGAAGGTAGTTAGTAGGACCAGTGGTGTAAAACTCAGTCAGCTCGTCACTACATTAGTTGATAGGCATCTGAATACATGCGAAAAATGGTCTAAGACCATACTCTCCAACCCCCAACACCCCGTCTATTCCCAACTCTTGCCTTGTATCTCATCAAGTAGAACCAGAAATCAGTATAAAATAATCTATGCTCGTACAATCAAGTACAGGAACACAACGATACCATACTTGGCCCGTGTTCTAAGTGACAGAGACAATGTTAAGCGCGAAACTTATGACTTTCTTTGTTGTTAATAATCATAATTTTAGGCTCTTTTATTTCTCTCTTATTTTGTATTCTATAGTGAACTCCTTCTTAAACTTACTTAACTACCTAAATTATTAACATTGGCTTACGTTTTTGTACTTTACTGTATTCCTTCTTTTGCGTATCTACTGGTTCCGACTATATTACCTCTATGAGTATTACAAAATTGTCCTGTCATTAACCATCATGTAATTAGTAGTTTTCGTGGTTGCTTTTTCTTATTTTTTATTTTTTTCGGCAATATTAACTGACAATCATTGGTTGTGAACACCATTATCACCATCTTAAAATTTTGTATTATGCAGGATTACTCACACTATCACTACAAACACCGCATTAAACCTGATAAAAAAAAACAACTCTGAAATGTTTTTTTATGATTGTTTAGTGTTGTTTCAACCAAATTAACTGATCATCTTGGCGATAAACATTCTTAAATATCAGTTCATAACTTCTTGTATGACTACAGCTTTACTGTCACCATGCATAATCATATCATAGCTTTCACTACCCAATACTGAGATATTATTTATTATGTTGTTTATTTTCCTTTCTACTTCTTGGTATTTTTTCGCATTTTTTAAAATTATTTTTGTTTGTTTGTTTTTTATTGTTGTTGTCTTTAAATTTATTTTTTGAAATACTCCTTTAAGTGTTTGATAAAATTAGATACTGTAGATACGCACTGAATATTCCACACTGTACCACTAGTACTGTTTCTGGAATAAAGCAAATTATTATTATTATTACTAAAGAGCCAAGTAAATCAAAAGGAATTAAGTGTAAATTCAATGTCTTCGTGTGTGTCGGTAATCCAGTGGTAGAACACTTTCTGCCCACGCACGTATTCCGTAGTTCGACCCCGAGCCGATGAACTCCCGATACTCACTTACGCGAAAGCAAATCTGATAAGGAGAAAAGGTTGGGCGTGAGACCAGCAACCTCATCCCGTATATAAAAAGAACACGACTGCTACTGAAACAACTT